CCAGAGCATCGAGCGTCGTAAATCTCTTTCATTACACTTTCCAGCGACCCGCCGCGCAACCCACTTTAGCTAAAATCGTGGCGACACTTCCACGATAATTTGAATACTACCGTTAACTAGTCGATGGACCGTGTTATTGATTCTGGGACCAGTCTCGCTATTTAGGTGATCCAAAGTCGAGGAATTATCGGCCATCTGGTAGCAGGCTTTTACTCTGTAGAATGATCTAGTCTGAAGAATCCATTAAAACGACAATGAATGTTGGGAAAGGACTGGAGTGATGCTTAATTGGAATCCAGAGCTTTTTCGAGAACTTCAAAAAGAGGGTTCAGAATTTTGGAAACTTCCACAAAATCCGAAAAATGAGTGGTAATACAGGAATTTGGGTTTCGGTGGAGCTAAGGGTGCATACACTGCGTCCCATAATTATAACTCCACCCAAGAATTTCCCAAAATCTCACAAATTTAGATGTTTTAGAAAAATTCTCTAATGTGGCGATGTGTCAAATACAAACACGAAATTCCTTATAAGCATCATCTTCCAACTTGAGATCTCATTAATTTTTTCTAATAATTTTTGTTCAAAAGGCCACTTGGCCAACGTCCCAAAATTATAACTCCACCTCATGTTTTTCTGTTATTTTTCACTTTCCGTTTCGCCATAGTTTTTTAATGTGCTAACATACTACTTCTCAAGGGGGCAGTATGATAGTGGTGTTTGACTTTTTAAAAAGTCAGATCGTCGCAAAAACTGCTATGAACGGAATTTAGGCAATCAATTCGATCGCAAAAGATTTGTGATCAAATCTCACGAGGAGCTCAGAGAATGTTCACAGGGAATATACATGATATGGGAGTTGCAGAAGAGCTCAGAGAATGCTCCCCTGCTATTATCGTGAGAACAAAGGCCGTGACCACGAAGAACATCCTTTTTTATGAAAGCCACCGTGCTCCACAATACAACTTTCTTCGGAACTTAATGGCTTCCACGGAACATGTTTGCTTTTCGCGAATAAATCCCAATGTTTGATTCGAGTTTGGAACAACGTGGAAGGCATAATCTTGTGCAGGAACCATGGGCGAGAATTAGAAGCCATTTTACAACATGGAAAGAGGCCAACGGAGCGAACTGGCAGGTTCGACTAATAACTTTAGCTCGATCAATGTTTAGAATTGGCGGGTGGTTAATTTCTTATCTCTTTTTCTCATCCTTAGAAGTTTTTCCTCTGGAAGCAACCTACCCAGCGCAGGAAGAAATGCGAAGACAGAAAAGTACAAACAATCAGTAATGAATCGCAAGTAAAAGCGAACTTCGACGTCCGGAGACTGGATGCACTTTCCGGAAAACTCCCGCAGACAATTCGCCATGGCGTTTACTTACACCCACGATACAGATGCCTTCGCCCGTTTCCCACATCGAGAATCAACTGGGACTTATTCGGCAAGCGGAAACCATTGTTCGTTTAAACATGTAAGTTCCGAAGAGATTTAGATGCACAGGCACTGCAAGTTCGTAAAGAGGAATGTTACATTCTGTGACACAAGGCTTTGCTTTTGTCTACCGAAAGCAAAGGCAACCACGAAGTAAAATGGGAAAGAATTCTACTGGAGCTATTCTCAACTCATAATGCATTAAAAACTCCCTTGAAAAATTCCCGAGCCAGCACATGATGTTTGCAGATCAAAATCTTGTGATCCAGCGTTTGCCCTAATTACGGTTTTTGCGACGATCTGACCTTTTTAAAAAGTCAGACACATTTTCTATTATACAGTTATATTTTCATTTTATCCCTGAAAAGTAGGACGATGTTAGCACTTAATAAAAACTACGGGCACGAAAACGGAAATGAAAAATAATACAAAATCATGAGGTGGAGGTTATTAATTATTGGGTCGTTGCACAAGTGGCCGGGTTGACACAAAAAATATTGAAAAAATTAATTGGGACTACAAAATTGCGAACGTGATGATTTACAGGCGATAAGTACCTGTATTTATACCACAACTGCCACATTGGAGTTTTTTCATAACGTCCTAAATCTTGTGAGATTTTCGGGAAATTTTAGGTGGATTATAAATTATGGGAGCGCAAGCTGTGAGTTGCGAAGGGTTATGGATGGGGCCCGACTAATGCTGAACAAGGAGAGTGACGAGCTATACCTACTTACTGACTTTATAGCCAGCACGGATGATTGTTTTAAACTGGAAAGGTAAAGTACGCATACTACAAATGTAAGACTGTATGGAGGACTATGTACACTTTTTCACTAATAGAACATAAAAGCAGTGATTGGATTTCCCTATACCACTTAGCGTTCGCGGACTTAATGAAACACAACCTTTCACTAAGAATCGAACCTTGCGAAGCTCTAAACTGACATGTAGCCTCAGCACATGAAGAGAACCGTGTCTTCAATATCAGTTATGCCGATAACAAAAGTTGCAGCTGCGAGATAACATCGGATTTAGATAGGAGTATCCACAATGGCCGACCATCTAAGCACGCGACAGGGAACAATAGAGCAGATGCGGCGGCGCGCGGCTTCGAGCAATTTCGGCAATGCAATGCAAACGGACGACAGAGTGAACGATCGGGATTAGCAACGATAGCAACTTGCGATATTAGACATCGTAACTCGTGTCAGTTCAGAAGACTAATAAGCATCTAGGTGGTAATTTATGAGGCAGTATCAATTTAATCAAATTAGGTAAAAACGCTACAGCATCCGAGGAGCATTGCTCCCGGACAGTCAACCATGACAGCTTTGAAAAAGGGAATAGACCGCCTAGTGATTAAGTTGTAACATCATGGTAATAGCTTACTGAAAGCAAACACCAGAATCGAAACATGAATCGATCTTATATCCCTCCGTGAAGGTAAGCACAGAACCAGGTAGCAAGCAAGAGGACATAATCATCACAAACAGTTCAACAATATCTTATTTCTCATATCTAAATTAATCACAGAGCCTGTGGAGAAGATTTATCGAATTGTACGCCTTGTGAACAATTGCAGCAAAAGAAGTGAGTGATGTGATCACCGCTGTTGAAAATAATTCAATAAAATAAGTCATTAGACTATAGGAGTCTCTACAATTACAAGGTTACATAACAATCACTAAAATTACATTTGCACTGAGATGTAATACCTTACAGCTTCTTTACGACCTCTATCTTCAACAGTTCGATGGGTCGATTTCAAGCGTAGCATTTTCTAGATTCTTCACTTAAATTTATTACGAAGTCTCATGCGAACTAAGAAAAACTACCATCGAGTCGATCATGTTTGTGAATAGCCAACTACAGCACTCTTTTCAGCGCATCGAAGGAGAGCCACAAAAACACAAGTTCATAGTCAAAAATTTTACAGAGTCTCCCAACAATTTATGCGTTAGATGATCATTTCCAATTTTAACACATTGAAAACAGCATGACGCGAGTCAGACATTTCAGACCGGACGGGGCAGCCTTACGAGCGCACGCCTCAAAACCTTGCTACCCAATTTTTTCACTAGTGCACTCCTTTTCCTGATTTTTTTTGCAATTCTTCTAGACAATACATGGAAGCAACACCACTTTGAGTTCTGGACTCTCTGTTCTGCAACATCTCAAAAGAATCGAACTTGGAGGAGGTCAGGCTTTCACTGCCAGAAGGTACTAATCGTTTGAAGTTGGCTTTTGCTCTTTTTTTATTTTTTAGCAGATTTTTCAGCACACGGCATCCCCTTACTATCAACGATAAATATGCAAGACCGTCAACTGAAGGAACCACAGAAAACCTACAGGAACGTGATGATGCCGGATGGTCTTTGGAGCTGATTCGGTCTCAGAGCATGTGAGAAACAACCTCCACCTTTCCAAACCTTTTGGAAATCTCTCAATAAAATCATCTTGTTGCACCACGACCGCCCTCATACAGAATGGTTTGTCTGTCTACATATTTTGTCATCGTTTGGAAAGGGCATAGAGATTACTAGTCACCGGGTGGTTGGAATGACCATTTTCAAATAAAAAAGCCAACTCTTACGAAGCAAACCATCGGTGCATCGCAGGTTGAGGGAGTGCGCTCTCTCCTATCTTGCCCAGGTACCATAACTTGTAGCGCATTCACCCGTTAAACGAGAAATGTTGGTTTGAATTCTACCCGGGACGAGAGCTTTGCTCATTACCCACTACTCCTGTGAAATATTGCTGGGCGAACCACTGCCGAACGCAGCGGTTAAGCAGCAATAAACAAAAGCCAATAGTGTAAGCAGTTTCTGGGCTCGTTCGAGAAGTCCTTAGGAAAAAAGCAAAACTTTAGCCAAGAAATCGAACATATGACTTTCCTCATATGTATGAAATAAGACAGCTATCCACTACACCGCCAGGAACGCTGACACAGCTGCTCTTTCGTACATTCTCTAGTTTTCGAGAAATGTGCGTCGAAGGAATGTCAAAGAGTTTTCCATAGCCACTCGAAAACTCGAGTCCTCTCTCCCGAACCAAGGAGTTTTTCAGGAACTCTCGAAATGGTTCTAGGACTTGCTTCTACAAACCTGGTCTTGCCTAGCCGTAATCAATCAGAATAACTCGTATGGTCATAGTTGACTCTAATCATTCCTTCATATTACTTCTCTTTTTTCCCGGCCGTGTTCTGTGAATGACGCATTTGCCGCTGCAGTATTTCATTATGCCATGTCGTGTCGTCATGATCAAAACGAACCAAATCAACAACCACTGTCCATTTAAATTTCACTTCCAGACAATTGTGGATATCATTTGCATTACTGCTCACTACGATACTTGTGAAATTAGTTATGATAGCGAATGAGTTTCAGCAACGCCGCTGTGCCCGTTGCTTAGCTTTGCGCTTACGATTCCCTCACCTCCGTCGGCGTAAATGCGACCCCTGTTGAGGATTCCTTCTAACGTTACTCACCCTGCTGCAAGCGTAGTACACCACTCAGCGAAACGGTCTACTTTTTTCATGCGAAAACACATCACGGTTCAAGCTCAGATCAAACAATTGATAACCAAAAAAACTCGATACCTGGAATTTTTGGGTGTGAAATACGTTGTTCGTAAGCCCAGCGAGGAGAAACGGTAAGAGTTCGACGCTCGCCAACACACATATCCATAAGCCCTTGATCCCATCCCCTTATCACCTGGAAATAAAGGCACTTTCAGGAGGAAAACTCGCAATAAGTAAGAAACCATGTGAATAGACCAGAAGCGCGTTGAGACAATTTCGCGAATTTATTACTTTTAATATCTTAAAATCATTTCCCTGACGACAGCATTACCACGGACTTGAATCCAAAGATTCAAGAGCAGACGAATAAGTAATCTTTACGTTTAGCCCCTACAGATTACCTCATCAATCGGAATTGCAAATTGTCAAATGAACAAAACAAGACTTTGTGGCCGCTATTGAAGCGTGAATCGCCTCCAAAAATCGTGACTCCCTCGGCCGTGGAATCGACTGGCTGCCATGCAAATGAGGAGCAGTTTTTGAAGTGGATGGTGAATACACTACAGAAATCCCTCCATTAGCCCCTTCACCATGACATCTAGGGTCAGTAAGAAGAGAAAGGGGCTCAGAGCTGATCCTTGGTGACCCCCAACCGTGATGACTACCTCCTTTGTGAGGTCGTGCGGGTGCGTATTGCTTCTTTAGCTCTCTCCTACATGTCAGTCACAAGAGAGAGCAGGGACGGTAATAAATGTTACCCTAAACTAGCAAGCAAGTGTGGTGATTTTTCCCCATTAACGGGGGACAAGTAGCGTGGAAACACGGACATGACCTTCTTTCTGGAAACCACAAGCCTCAGCACAGTGCCAACCAAACTTGCACCGCTCTCGGACTTGAACCCTCGATGGTAGGATTCATAGCCGATCACCCCACTGGAAGAGATGTAGTTCACAGGTGGGCAACGGATGTTGTTTGCGACTGCAAGCGTTGTTGATCCATCAACCTTGCCACCGGCAGCGTGGAACATTCCCATTCAGCCATTGGAAGATTGCCATGGTGGAAATGGTCAGCATCTTCTTACCAACAGTGAAAGGGTTGTAGAGAAAAGGGAATAGCCTGCAAAGGTTGCAAAGTTTAGACATCTCGACATTGATCCCATGAGCGATCCAACACCAACGTGGATCGCAGGCGCTACACCAGAGACGAAGGAACGCGCTCCCGACAAAAGGACTAATCTTGCTCCAGTCGACGTGGCTAAACCTTCGAGCAAAAATGACACGGTTTTTGGGAAGATTTTTTTTCACAAACGAAGTCTTTTTAATTTATCACTGAAGAACGACCTCGGAAGATCTTCAACACATCCCATTCAATATCCATTGGAAGAGCAACTTATGAAAGAATTCTGAAATCCCGAACACTGTTCGATGAAATTGAAATTTTTCCTTAAAATCCGGAGTTCAACTTGACTAAAAAGCAATCCAGAGCTCTTCTTCTTTCCATAACCTACAAGATTCCAGAAGGAATTGCTAATCGTGCTGGAGCTTCAACTCAATTCTCGCGCAATATGACTGCACGACTCATGTTTCTTTTTTGTTGCAGTTTACCCTTTCTCAAAGGCCAACTACCTTTTTTCTCTTGTGGGAACATTGAGATGAAAGAGAAAGAGATGAGAGATGTGAAAATTTTTTTGGTGTTTTCGAAATGGATTTTTGTGCGGATATCTGAACTCGCTATCAAATTTGGCACATTTTCTATCTAGATGGTTTTTCAGGAACTCTATAAACTTTGAGTTTTCGAACAAATTGTAGGTGGTTATATCATTATTGACGCAGTGTATGTAGATTACAGACGGCAGGCAGATTGGGCGATAGTTGCCAATGTCGTCGAAGTCTTCCCACTTGTACAACAGCACAGTTCTGCTGGTTTTCCATGGGTGGATACATTGCATTCCCACAGGAAGCGCGTGAAGTGTGGAGCCAGAGTTTTGACCATAACTGGCGGTGCATTCTTCAGATGTTCCGGTTTGATCCTATCGAGACCAGGTGCTGTACGGTTCTTCACCGACTTGATGGCATGACGGACTTCCGAAGAGAGAACTGAAAGAACGACGTATTCATTTTGTGGTAGGCGATAAGTAGGCAGATGGACCTGGCACTGAAGAGATACGAGTAGAAGTCGTGGATGACTTCCTCCATTGCCCTTCGTGATGCAGCCACTGTTCCATACGAACTTCAGATGCAGGTCATCTTGGTCTGGTAGCCGGTAATACTTGGGCGGGCATTGCAGATGCTCCTCCCAGCCTCTGCTGCTTCAACTAATACTGCTGCTCTTTGAGATCTCCTTTTATTGCCTAGCTTCGCAAGCTAGGACGTAATTGATGATTGCCTGCTGTTCGTGCGGCTCCATGCTGGCGTACCAGTTCGAGAGTTTCCGGAGCCAGACGTTCCTTGGTGGCTTTCAAATCCCTGCCTTCCCGCCACTATCGTGAAAATGTTCAAACACCCGATAGTGCCCTCGTCGATATTTCCATAACCGGATCCTTCAACAAGCTTACGACAATGTGAAGTGATCCCAGTTCATGACTTTCCTTGGGCTTCGTTTCCTGAACTTTAATGCTCTCTCATCATGCATTGAGAAGTGGAATCTTGCGCTGAGGAGACGATGGTCCAATCTCGTGTAGAACTTTGGAACAACAGCGACGTGATCAGGCGAAACTTTCCATTGAAGGCGATGTAATCTATATCGTTATAGAACTGTCCTTCAGGTGGCTCCCACGTCCAACGAAGGTGGAAAGGCTTTCGGAACTGTGAGCTGCCATGGATGGTGTTGGTCGACTTGATAACCTCCAACAGCCTCTTGCCCTGTTTATTCCATTTCTTTCTGTGAGGGCCGATGTGGAGTTCTTCAGCCGTATACTGGAGCTGAACCACACCTTCTCAATCTCACACGTCCGAGTGGGATTGTTAAGCTTTCGTACGAATCGGAGGTTATGCGTGCTGACGAGGACAACGCCTCGCCGTCTGTACGTTGAAAGTACAGATCGCCGTCTTAGTCCTTCTTCGTTCAGCCTATCCGGGCCCTGAGGTTCTAGCAACCTCCCCCGAGCGGTCCTAGCCAACGCTGCCGAATGGGGGGTGCCCCCAGTTTTAGGGGAATTAGGCTCATTTATCTAGCTGTTTTCGACATATTGAAGGCACACTAGTAGCTTATCAGGCTCCGTCGTGTGGGCTAGGATAGAATTCCAGGTAGTTAGCCACGTCGTCCTAGAGCGGAACAAAGAACTCTGAAGAGGCCCCGAATTACCTCCCATGTACTTCCTAGTCTCTTGAATGCAAGCTTTTGACTGTATCAACAAGCAGAAAACCAAACGCGCCCACACAAGTGCACCACACGCAAGCACATGGATACGGCCGAGTGGAGACGGCTGGTATGAATCAACACAGCACTGCAGAAACAGCGAGTCCATGCCCTAAATCGACCAGCGTCTCAGGGCAGGTACATGGTGGCTTTCTGTTCGGACTCACCCTCCATCCGCCACCTGGGGTTGTGCCACGTAGCCTCGCCGCTAACCGGCTAAAGATCTTCCAGTGGGATCCTCAGTGAAAGAAACCCGAGGAGTTTCCGTTACAGTACATATTATGTGATAGATGAGGACATGAAAAGAGAGCCTGCTGCTGCCTGCATAGAGGGGGTGGGGTAGCGCCACGTGGAAAGCCCACTAGACTAGAAGACAGGTGTATAAGCAACAGGTATTGAGGAGTGTGAAATCAATTTTCCCCCGAAATTCGTCCTCATCCCATCCAGACCATCATGACGATGCCTCCTCTGAGCACATAGCGCCGAGAAGAGTGAAATTAGAATTACAAGCAATCACACTTTACCATTTCAACTGTGGTAAGTTCTATTATGGCGCTGCACGCCACACTGGATATGACGTTAAAGACCTTAAAAACGCACGTTTTAGTTATCGGCAAAACAAAGGCTGAATTTGCGCGGAGCACCCTCCACCACGGTTTCACTGCATTGAAATACATTATGTACGGGCAAAAAGGAAGCCCAGAAAACTTCCAAAGAAAACATCGAGGAAGAGCTTCAGTGAGCCGTCAGCCCAACTAACTCGTTTTCAAGGAGTACATAACGCTTTAAATATGATCCCGCCTAAAAGAAATCATATAATGGAAATAGTAGCACTTGGAAAGAATTCAACAAACCTGTCCCCTTCCCAGTTTATGCACTAAATCCTCGTTACGTGTAAACTCGGTTCCATTGGGAAGTCTGCCGACATATTGTATATGCAATACATCTCCCTTCCTACAAATAGTGCAAGAATAGGAAAACAAAACAATTCATTCACATAAGACTTTCCTAACCTACTGCTACGGTGCAGCGGACCCCTACCCTGCTGAAGCACTTGAAAAAATACCTCGACTTCATCTCACATGGCTCTACTCTCTTCTTAACTCCAATCTGGAGTTTATCGAGCTTCTTCTCCTGAGCGAAAGCACAAAGACCCAGTCCAAAAATGAGGAAAAGGCAAGGAATTTGCATCACACAGATTTGAAAGCCGTGCAAACACAAAGCGAGATGTGTGTCATATGGCGCGGCCAAATTGCCATTGGGGCGCGTGGGCTGTTGCTGTCACCCAGGCGCCGCCCATATTTCTGCCAGGTTTCCCATGCATGATTCCACCCATTCGAGACAATGGCAGCCACCTGTGGCTGACCCGAAGCTCGCCTGGGTCAATTTCATCTTTATGTGGATGTGGATGTGGACAGGCCTTAAGTGAAATTTTTGAAAACAGTGGGAGATCTCCGGAACGTTTTCTCCCCTAAAAAATCTCTATACCCTAACTCATCTACGCTAACCCTGGGCAGAGGAAATCTTCTTCTACTCAATTCAATTGGAGAAAAATTCTCCTGACTTCAAAACCACACTGAAAGTCAAAAGGAATTTTTCTCCAAAACTAATTCTGTGAAGGCCATTGTAGTCCTAAATACGAACATGATGTTTGTTTCCCGCGCTGGCGCCCAACTGTCACCATTTTGTACCATATACCGCTAACACGGCGCAATACTTTTCCCCACCGTATTCAGCAAGAACGTGCAAATAAGTTGTTTTCATTGTCGGCACACTAGTCACTAACATAATTTGACCTAGAATTTATATAAAGTGGGGAAGAACCATCTTATTGCACCTTAATGTCTTTTTGAGGAATTATAACTTGACACTGTCTCTGAATTTGCACCATTATTTTGTAGAAATCTTCCACTTCTTGGTATTTACAAGACCTTCATTGTTCATTCAAATTTCAATATTTTGAGCAAAGCAGCATGCGCATTGAAACAACAGCATTAGATATCCAATGCTGAGGATTTATGTTCACTGTGTGTCTTCTATGTATATACAGGGTTGGGCAAAAAAGAATATAGTTCAGCCTCTGCCATGGTACACCGATGCTTTCGTCCAAAGATAGCCGCTCGTCGGGTGGCCGCTAATTGAATGAAGTTTCTCGGCGCAAAAGTATTTCTTAAAAATGTATCCCATAGGAGAGAAGTCATGGCCTTTCCTTCACTTCGCCACGCCGAAAAAAAGTGGCCGCAAGATCCCTTTGAAAGTGTTGTATGACCGTCGTACTGTTCTAATTATTGAGGCTCTTCCCTCGATGTTATACCAAAGAGGTTGCAATGAGTTAAAGTTTGTTGCGCTAGTACTTCTTCATTGTTGAATCATCTTGCAACCGAAAGTTGTAGATTGTTGTTGCCTACTGGAACCAGCAAAGGGTCTGTACCTGCCCAATGCACACAACCACCAAAATCACACAGGACAGTCCTGGGACATCAAAAAGTCAAAAGTAATGTCTGGTTACCCGTATCTCAATCATCTAAAGTATATATTCGAACAGGGCTGTCCTAATTGTTTGTTACTTTCGAAAATTTTACGAGTCCCTCCCCTCCCCGAACTGATTTTAATACGAACCCCGCTTTACGCTACCCTTCCAGCCCATCTCCAATCTCCCGATCAAAAACCCGCCCACTTTCCTCCAAACCTCCAAAACTTAGGGGGTTTCCGCCATTTTCAACCCATCTTTTCACCTGCAGGTACCTCGCCGTTTGGAAATAAAAATTCAACCGCGAATTTGAACGCGGGATCCTCGTTAATGGTTCGTGAATTCGTTTATAACGTCGGTTGAATAAGTTGAGGCTTCAAAGAATCGGCGAAGCACAATTGCAATTCAGACTCGTGCGACACTATAGGAATGTGCTTTGATACTTTGGAAAAAGCTGATCATATAGGAATTGCGGGGCCAGTGCAACTCGAATTTCATCTCAAAAAAGTAGTTGCTCGCACATGTGATGTGTATATAATCCGCTTAGTGCGGGCTAACGCGCTACAGCACAAGAGAAACGGCCTCCAAACTACCCCCCAAAATGCGCACAGCCGTAATTCATCACTACATTGTGAGATAGATGAATGTTATTTGCCGAATTCTTAGATCTTCATTTCGTTTTTTGATGCGCCTTACTGGCTTTTTAGCGTGTTCGCCGTCTCTCTTCATATCCCAGTCTCTGTATAGGTCAAGTGGAAATCTTTGAACAGTTTCTCAGCAGGCATATGTGTGGCCTATTATGTGAGAAAAACCTTTTGACCATTTGTCAAGGAGATGCTGTTGCCGAAAGTTTGTGACGATAGTGAACAAATTTTCTTGCTGTATGTAGACTATACGGTCAACTTGTCTTGTGAGGTTTATTTAAACCTTTAAGTCGCAGGTGAGCATTTCTTCCGTGTGTGACCTCCGAAAACTATCTGACGCCACTTTGTCATGCCTCCTTGCGCCCTCTATTTACGTGACAAGTCCCAGTTTTTAGATTGGAATGTATTAATTAAAAAGCTGTAAAGGAAGCGACGAAATTTTCTTCACCTATCGGGCTGATGTCCACTTGCCATTGTAAGGAAATCAATGTGGAAATCTCGGTCGCAAGTAAGCATTCTTTCCGTTGTGTGGCCCCAAAGCATGCCTCCTGCGTCATGCCTGTCGAAGATTTAGATTTTTCATGTTCCCAGATGAACTCGCAGAACCGTGAAATGTGCACCGGTTGCTTCCTCGTTGAAAAATGCTATTCGAAATGTATGCAATATCCTCCCCCAGGTTGAAACTTGGTTTTTTACACCGGTTTCCAGCCTTCCCCCTATGCTGGATGGGCAACTATCCACGTTACGAGAACGTAGGTCAACCCCAGCCCTATTTGGCGTTGGCTGGGACCGGGTATTGCTGAATTGTTGGGGAGGGGATGGGGACCCCAGCGGTCAAACGGTTTCCTTCCTCGGTTGGTACGAATAGAGAGTACTTCCGGGAACGTGGTGCAGACTGGTACAAGGCAATCTTCGCCAGAAGGTCTGGTTTGCTCTGCGTCCAGGACTAAGCTTGGAAAGGGGACGTGACTCCGTCCTCTATTGTCTTTAAGGCTATTCTGGAGTGTAAGCATTCCAAATTGTGTCGTATTCACAGGGAAAAACCCCCTGAGTTAAAGTGGTCCGTCTACCGTCGAGACCTCATCCCCTCCCTAACATTCAGCAACGGTCCCAGCCAGAAGCGCCAAAGGGCTGGTTCTTACGTTCACCGACAACAAGTCAGAGCGTACTCTTAGCACCGATTTCTCAGAGCGAGCCGTTACTTCAGTAACACGTGGAAATGGTTCGTTCGAATCGGGAGGCTTTCCCTACGATCAGGAAAGAGCCAGACCTGTGGAAAACTGTGATGCTGAGCCAATTGAAGCATATTTCACATTCTTCACTGAGAGTCCGGTATTGTCGTTGGGCAAGAGCATGCAGATTCGACTAGTATAAGCTTCCTCAGACTGTACTGAGAGACTGGTAGTACCTGGCTCGATGCACAACTCTGCTTTAGGTGATGAGCCGCATAGACTTGAACGTCTTTACTTCGACGCGGTCTCGAAGGAGTCCACTTCCGTCTTTCAATCGCGTCCAACATGCCACTGTGGCTGCGTACCCAAAGTCGCGTTGTATTTTCATCTCGCACGCCGAGCCTTCCCGATGATCGGCGGTTCCTCCTGAGATGCCTCCACACTTAGCGTCGCGAAGATAATCCGCTTCCTACTGAAATTGAACCTTGGGTGTGTCCGGGGAAAGTTGAGCATCGGTGATGTCCTTTTCCTCACCTTGCCCATGGTCGCGCGCTCAGAATACCACCCGTGTCTGGCTGCCGGAAAGTGTGAGCTGTTCGTCGAAAAAGGAAGCGTTTCGGCTGAGAGGCGAGAGCCCATTGGGCTCGTATGCGGCTCGGTCGTAGTGGCGGCAGCGCTCGGACGATAGCATCCAGTGGCCGTGTGTCCATCGCGTTGATGCAGATCGCCATTGGATACGTTGACATGTAAGGCGATGGTGGCACAACACAACGTGATTCCCATGGATCAGCAACCGCAGTAAAGTGCGATTTAATTCAACTTTGAGCGTAAATCTACACGTCTTCAAGCTAAGCCCCAGTACTTCTCATTTGACGATTGTGTCCGCTAAAGAGTAGCAAGAGGCCATCGTTATTCTCATCCGTTGTCGCAACGTGGAGAATACATTGCTTCTGGCTCTTTCCTTGTCGTGGGAGAAGCCTCCGATATCGAATGACCTTTGTCCCACGTTTTTGACAGTCGGCGCTCTGAGAAAGGTGCCCAGAGTAGCTCTGACTGTGAAGTGGTTGTTTTGACACCACTGGCGCGGCGTCAAGAATAGATGTTATAATTCGTGATCAATGGACCCCAAATAACCGCCTATACACAACCGTTTTCAGACGATTTGGTGAAACACGCCGCGGCGCCAAATTGGCGGCCAAACGGCGCCAAATGGCGCCAAATGACACCGCCATCAAAAATGAATGTCATATTCGGTAAAATCAGGGCATCGAATACCCCAATACACAAAGTTTCGTACGAAAAAATGAAGACTTTGAGATTTGGGTGCAGTAATCGTGGGATAAGTGCCGCAATACCAGCAATAGGGGGAAGGGCTGAAAACGGTGAATAAACAAAGTTTCAACTAGGGAGGTATGCATATCATTCGAATAGCAATTTTTAACACGGGAAGCTAACGGTGCACATTTCAGTGTCTGCGAAGTTCAAATCTGGTAAGTGCAAAAAATCTGAACTTCCACAAGGGGCAGTGACGAGGGGCATGTTTGGGCGCACACAGATCGGATGCAGGCTTACTTGGCGACGCGTGAGTTGTTCTCACATGAATTCTACAGGCAGAGTGTGTTAGTGCATTAGCCTAATTTTCGTTATTTATGGAAGGAATTCGTCCGCTTCCTTAGCAGCTTCCTATAAACCATTCCTCTATGAAGAATGGTGACATTGTCACAGTAAAGGGGGCAGAGGCATGGACAAGCGGTGATTGTTTGGGTCCCACCCACGGAAGAAATGCTCAGCCTGCCGACTAAGGTTTTTCAAATAAACGCTCACCAGACAAGTGACCGTAGTCTACATCAGCAAAGAAATTTGTTCACTATCGATCGAGCAATGCTTGTCTGCAAAGCATCTCTT